ATCTTATCTAAACAAAGTAAAAATTGATGCTTACCATTTCCAGAATCTGAGCCTGTTCCGCCATTTCGCGCTTCTTTATTTCCTCCGCTAATTCTTCAGCAGTTTTTCCTTCAGTATCATCAACATTTTCATCAAGAGCAATTTGATTAGTCTGATATGAATGAATCTATCAAGTTAAATCCAAAGAAGAAAATTCTCAATGTTTTACCTTGACGAGCATTTCAAACGTCGGTGACGGTGATCTTGAAGGGTACCTTATCCTTTTTGGGTCTTCAAAAGGATCGTCAAGCACAATTGTGTGGGCTATCCTTTAAGCGATGATAAATATTTGGAAATATAGAAAAAAGGCACTAGATAAAGTTATGGCTGATATACCAACCTAACGTCCTTGTATGGTCTGTGATCTTCATCACACAACTGCTCATTCAGTTTCTCCAGTGTCTCTAATCCCTCTGTTACCTGTCCAAATATCGTGTGCTTGTCATCAAGATAATCCAGTCTTAAAATGTAAACAAACATAACAAATCATGAAGTGAGCAATAAAAAATGGTAAGATTGAAAAAAAAGTTCTTTGATTATGCCGAAAAAAATAAACTGAATTCCTCCACAGTAGCACGAAAACTCACGCTTCTCCCAAGGTAATGAAGAACTGGCTCCCGAGCATGTTGTTGCCATTATTGACAAAAGAAACAACTCCTGGAAGTGATACTATCTTGAGGATCTATAAGTTCCACACAAAAGTCTTATCCACAAAATCCCAATTTTTTTGGAATAACAGATGATTTGTGAACGATCGAACAAAATAAGAATTCTTTTCCTTACCGAGACGTGTATGCTTCATCTTTGGAAGGTCTTCTTTTTCGAAAAATCTTGCTTGTTCACCATATAGAGACCTTAAAAGACATATCAATCTTGTTAGTTAACCTTAAGCTTATTGATCATGATGGCTTCTATCCCTAAAATCGTCAAATTCGAGAAGTTTCTGGGCTAGAACAAAGAGAAGCTCAGTTTTTGTAATTGGAAAAGTGGAATACAGTATGAAGGGATGGAAGAAAGCGCTAATGATAACCTATTTTGTCTAACAAATGGAAGTTATCTTTCAAACTTACATAAATATTGACTCGCCTCCTCGCCCAGTTCCCGTAGGATCACCTGTCTGAGCGACATAATTTTGCTAGAAAAAAAACTACATTTACCACAGCAGACAACATTATACATGAAATTCTAATTTATGAAACTTGTTACTTAGAATTTTGCGTTTCAAAAAGCAAACCTCAATAGTATGGAATTGACAAAGATTGTAGTACTTCATCTTGCATAGTTTCAGAAAGTTTAGCGAGCCTTAAAGAACATTAAATCTTTACATACGTTACAGGCTAAAAAATCATTGTACATACATTTTGGACGTTCCTTAACATATAAGTCAATCACAATATCTCCTAAGGTGGTCTCGACAAGGACCGCCATGGAAATCAAGTGATGCTGGAAACTGTTAAAGTTAGACAATTAAGTTTTAACAATAAACATGGTATAGATGCATATCCAACACCCTCCAGTGATATTTCGAATATCCACAGAATGGAGCAGAAAACTGCGATACCTGAATCGGTGTTGTGCAACTATCCCATGTGCATAGTTAAATCAGCTCATTGTATACTTGTGCACCTACCAATACCAAACAGAAGTAGGTCTATGAGGATTACAGCTTTTTATTGGAACAAAGACGTAAGATAAAGCATTTATTCGAGAAAAGAAACCTTCAAAACGTCTGTACAACACAAGCAGAAAGACTAGAAGACTTGTGAAACTAGATACAACCCCAATAGCACTTTT